GCAAGAGAATGATCCAGACAGAGGCAAGGAGAGGGAGAGAGGGGTAGAGAGAGAGTTCTGAAGCGGCTTCTTAGAGATGGGATATAGTAAGTGCCAGCTGCAGGAACCAGGGCTTTAGGGACACCTGTGTACCATTTTATCTCCAAGCGGATAGCTTTTCATGCCTACATAGCAGACACCCCAGGGTCTTGAGGGATGCAGCAGGGGATGTGTACAACAGAAACCTTCTAGAGTCTGGAGTTCTAACCGAGGGTTAGAAGCCAAGCAGCTCCTGGATCTGATGGGTCAGCGCAGGGATGGGACCCAGGCACCAACACCGGCACCTGGAGAGTAAAATCCTTTGGGGCCTCCTTATGGGGTATATATGTCCTGCTGGAGAAGCCACTCCAAGCTAACACCCCTTACAGGTCTCTGGACGATTCCGGTTGTGAGTTGGGCCTGTGGATCAAGCTGCCAACGTCTGCGGCGATGTGTGCCTCTCCTCCCCCTCTTCCAGGGGTAATGAGCCTTGGCTTCAAGCCTCATTAAACCCCATTATATAATCAGCCCCATCCCGGGTATCTTTATAACCCCAGCAGTTGCCTTGGTGGGAACATGGCCGTTCAGCTTCATCACCCTTTACTGCCACCTGCTGCCTCCGCCCCCACCACACCAGGATCTGACTCAGCGTCCAGGTAAGCACAAGGTCAGGTTCCTGGCTGGGGGTCAGCTCTTCCCCTCGTTTCCAGGACAAGGGACAGGAATTGCTTATGGAAGTGGTGCCCACAGGGGTTGGAGGGACAGCCCCAGAGAGGGTATAGCATCTTCCAAGCTGTCAGCTGAAGGAGACTGTTTCCTTGGCCCTGGGATATGACTCCAGCTGCTACCCTAATGACACTGGTGGGGACATGGAGAGTTAGAGTCACTTGTTTTCTTTCGCGACGGCTGCCCTGAAAGGCTGGAGGGCCACAGGCAGCTAGCACGGAAACTCCCAGAACTCTTTGGGAGGACTAGGTCATTCCTCAGCTTCGATGGAAGACACCCAAGATGAATGAGTTGCAGAAGCTGCCAGGAACTGGCTTTTCGGCCACTCTTCAGCAGCTGCCTGCCCGCTGGGGGACCGCCACCACCTGGACCCATCGAGGCAGTGAACAATGAGAGCAGAGCCCAGGGGTGGGGGTGGGGGAAACACCTGCAGACAACACATGCTAACAAAGAAGCGTCTTCCGCAAAACCGCCGCACAGCTCCCCACACCGGAAGAAAGCAGAAGGCAATCAAGAAGCAAGAGGGACAATGAAGGTGGCCTTGCAGAACAGATGCTCCACTCCTCCGCTGCTTTCCAGACCTTGAGATCTATAACCAGGCCCTTAGCCTCAGCCTCCATTTCTTTATCTCTGAAGAGGGAATAATAAAAGTCTCAACATTCTAGAGGGTTGTGACGTAGATATTAAACAAGAGAGAGGGCTTTGGACAAGGCCTGTGACACCGTCACCACACAGTGAATGCCGATGACTCTTGGTACCGACAGTGGTTGGTATTCGCATCTCTACCACTGTTTCAGACCGCTCCATCACATGACACACAGCAATAGCTCCCCACACTCCCCTTTACTGAGTCACGGAGCACTAAGCACCAGCCCCATCCCATCCTCCCTCTGAACTGGAATACACTCTGAAGTAGATTGTTTAAGGGTCTTTCGACACGGCCTCTGCTACAGCAGCTGGGATTGAAGACCACGGGACAAAGGGCCATAAGTTCGTGGCTGGCCACGCTAAAGATCTGTGCACGGAGGACACCGTCAGACATGCTTGAGCAACACAGGAAGGGCACAGGCTGTCCCTGGCGTGTGACAGTTAATAGGTCTCGTCAAATGACGGCAGGAAAACATGTTCACACAGACGGTCTTTTCCGTCACAGGGAACGATCTAAGTGAACTCGGAAAATGAGCTTTGGGCTCAGTGATTTTGCCCGGCTTCAGACTAATGGATGTGTTCTAGTCCGTACTAGGTGCAGCACCTCTGGGGACGCCTGGATGAGATTCTCTAAATCGAGCCTGGGTGCAACTCCAGCCGCTAGGCTGTTGGACTCAGTACATTTGCCGTGTCTGGTGTTTCTCAAGTCCTGGCTTGCTCTGCTAATGGTGGACTTATCAGGATGCACCCCATTGTAAACTGAGACATGGAAGAATGACATCTGACATCTTGGTATATCTGAGCTGACCCGTGAGCACCATCGGTTGGCGAGCCTTGGTGTGACTCGATTCCTCTGCCAACGGGGACTCTCACTCCTTGTTTGTCCTGCGGGCACCCTGACATCAAAGGAGTAGGGTAAGCACTCAGGGAGACAGAGGATCCCTGTACCCAGAAGCTGGGGGCCCTGGGGTCCTGAGACCCTGCCCCTCCAGTGTTCTAAAGAGTCCAGTATCTGTCTCAGGTCTCTTGATGAACAGTTGAGGAAACTGAGACCCAGAGAGAAGAAGAAAATGCCTGCTTGGGAAATACAGAATGTGGACTGAAGGCAAAACATGGGGCAGATCACACACCCTGTGAGCCTCAGTCTCCCCAAAAAAAAAATCCAGTGCTTTCTTGTTCCTTCCGAGGAAGTCAGCAACAGTCTCTATATACAAACAGCAGGATTATCCAAATGGTAGCCATGCTCCCAAGAGCTGCCTTTTAAGTCTTGTTCTGTAGCCCAGGCTAGCCTAGAACTTATTATGTAGCCCAGAGTGGCCTAGACCTTGCTATGTAGCTCAGACTATGCTATAACTAGCTACATAGCCCAGGTTGTCCTATAACTAGCTATGTAGCCCAGGCTGTCCTATAACTAGCTACATAGCCCAGGCTGGCCTTCGGGCTCCCAAGTGCTGGGATTACAGGCATGCACACTATCATGGCCAGCTCTGTGCTGCTTTTTAACAAAGTCTTTTCTGTTGCTGACCCCGGGTTAGCAGACAGGGCTGTCCTCCATGTTGGAGACCAAGGAAAGGGGAAACCTGGGGGACTGCAATGGGACAGAAAAAACAACCCAAATACAATTGGTTTGTTGCTGTTTTGTTTTTGTTTGTTTACACAGATAGATGTGTTCACTCTGGCCAGAACCACAGGTCAGAGCCACAGTTGGCCCCTCAGAAAGAATCAGAAAACAGTGAAGCCCAAGGCAGTTGGCTGCAAGAGGCTACCATCAGCTTTGTGCTGAGGTAAATTCCAAGCTTCTTGAGGCCCTGGGGAAGAGACAAGGATAGGGACCCTGAGCTGGCAGTCATAACTAACTATGAGGCACGGAACAGCCATCAGTGACAAAGTGCCTACCACGTACAGGCCCTGTGCAAAGGGACTGACCACACCACATGTGTGGCTAATGTATAATTGGCCCATTTTACAGATAAGGAAAGTGAGGCTTCAACTAAGAAACACTAAGCCTATTACTAGACTGTAGTACTCAGTGCTAGGACTCACACCCAGTCATCTCCCCCGAGGGTCCGTATTTCTCGGCCTGGCGCAGGCCTCATCTACTGCCCCCGTTGTTTGGTCTAAGGCCCCTTTCCTTGCAGCTGCTCACCAAGCGACTCCCTGACTACCAAGCAAGCCGACCACGTGGAGAATCTCTGGCTTCCCAGACAATGACCTCTCTTGACAAATGAATAAATTAGCCTCCTGCTGTTGACATCTCTGTCCTGGGGCTGTTTTAATTTGCTGGAGGTCTGGCCCAAGCAGCCCAGGCACTAGGATTAAGCCATGCACCAGAATGTTCTCCTATTAATATCTCATGGGTCCCTCTGGTGGAGACCCTCAGCCGCCCCGCAACACAAGCCCTGTGCGTGTTTGTGGACCCATCCAAGTTCAATGCTAAGGCCCTGCCTACCCACATAATTGTGTGTCAGGGGATAGGAGTAACAGATCTCCTCACTGAAGAGTGCAGACAGGCTCCCTGGAAAGCAAAGACCGCTTAAGTAATAAACGACCCCCATTTAGAGATGCCAACGTCCTTCCGTGTGGATCTCGGAGGGAACTGGTGCACGGGCTTGGGGAGGATGAGGAGGAAGGAAGGGAGAGAGGAAAGGAAGAACCAGGTTCAAATCCTGGCCTCACTACTAAGTAGCTGTGTAGCTTTGAGATAGAGAGACCTCTGGTATCCCTGAGCCTCAGTTTCCCCACTTATGCTATAGAAATTAATCTATGTCTGAGATGGACCAGAGTGAGGTACTGAAGGCAGCAATTAGCCTGGTGGTCAATAAACTCCTCTTCCCACCCAGCAGATCAACATGGCTGCATGCACAAGCAGCCATGGCAGGCCTAGGACCCGGGGCCAGTTCTTCTTAAAGCCAACATCCCCTGTCCCCCAAACATACGCCCTTGCTGGAGGAGGAGCTGGGCTCACGCCTGTGGGTTCCCCTCTGGCCGCATCTGCACCTTTTAGCAGAGAGTGCCTCTGGAGAAGATCAGAACTTTCTGGAAACTCGTCCCTCTGCCACCAGGAACTTCCATCTGTACTCAAGTCGTAAGCACCATGTGTCTGGCGAGAGTTTGTGAATGTGGACCCGTACATTCCAGGCCACACTGAACCTGGCTGGAACTCCAGTACGGCATCGAGATGCAAAAGCTATACATGTTGACCCCAGTTAGCACATGACGCCCTCACAGACCCCACATGGCCAGAGAAACCCTAAGATAAGTGGTTGAAAGTTGGTGGAGCACACGGAGAGAAAAGGTGAATGTTCCCCTAATGCCCCACCCCTTGCTTTCAGCATTCCATCACAACTGCGAGTGAGAGAGCGGATACTGAGAATGTAGAACTGCCAGTCACCTCCGAGTACCAATCACGCTCCCTTCAAACCGTCTGAGGACCCAGGAGCTGTACGTGTGGGAGGGAGGTGTCAGGTGATGGACTCGCCCTTACCAGTGAGATTCAGAATCAGGGTGAAGAGCACAAAATGCATGCACCGGGCAGGAAAGGTGGCTGGCTGCGCAGTGATGGTCTGGTGACCCCAGCCAAGGCAGCCTAGGGGCTAGCGGGGACTTACTTGCGGAGAAATTGGCCTCCGTGTGGACGGGTGGGGTGGAGGGCAGAAAGGGCGCGTGGCCCACGAAGAAGGACCGCAGGGAGCGCTCAGACAGGAGTGGGGACCGCTGCTGGGCAGGGATGTTCTCACAGCTGCCCACGCCACTATGGATCTTGAGGTTCAGCGGTTTGCTCTTCTTCTTGGCTCTGAAAGAGAAGCGGACAAGGAGACAAGATGAGTCTGTCTGCGCCATCTACACAGTCAATATAAATGTTGTCCACCTGACCATGGCTGGGCACCCGTGAACCACAAGCACAACCTACACTAGCAGAGACCAAGCCTGCTGGAAAGTAACTGGGTATCTCTAAGTCTTCTAGAACATTCCCGTCAGTGAGGACTCTACCCAACACATGATCACTTGACATTTGACTTGACACTAACATAATCTATCTCTCGAATAATATTTTATAGGCACCATTGTGTGGGCTGATTTTTTGTCAGTCTGACAGCAGTTACAGTCATTTGGAAAGAGAGAACCTCAACTGAAAAAATAGCCCAAGATTAGCCTGTGGGCAAGCCTTGGTGTATTTGCTTGACTGACGATTGATGGAAAGGGGTCCAACCTTTCAATGGGGGTGATGCCATCCCTGGGCTTCTGGTCCTGGGTTCTATAACAAAGCAGGCTGAGCAAGCCTTGGGGAGCAAGTCAGTGAGCAGCACCCCTCCATGGCCTCTGTATCAGCTCCTGCCTCCAGGTCCCTGCCTTGATCTCCCCTCAGTGATAGATGTGATGTGGAACTGTGGGCTGAATTAACCCTTTCCTTCCCAAGTTGCTTTTGGCCCTGGGGTTTCATCACAGCAATAGAAAGCAAACTAAGACACCTATAAAATGTATACTTTTTTAATGCAAAAAAATAAATAAATAAGGTGAAGGGCTTAGCTTGGCTTGGTGATACGTTACTGTAATCCAAGCACTTGGGAGGCTGAGGTAGGAGGATGCTGACTTTGAGACCGGCTTGAACAACAGAGCAAAGCTCTGTCCTGAATAAGCAAAAGAAAATTCAGGACTCAGGATGATTTTTTTTTTAATTCTCGTTTTTTTCCCCAGACATCATCCTTGTAAGCGGCTCACCGGGAGGGATGGAGAAGTGGAGGAAGGTTAAAGACCAAGGCTCCAGCTGGGTGCCGATTGAGCTCTGATCAGAACTAAGTGAGGGTCTCTCAGAGCATAAATAAGCACCAAACTCGGTGTCTAAACCTTGCGCGTCACCAGACGGGAGACTTGGGATTATTAACAGCATCGGTGGCAGTGACAGCGGCCACTGCTACTCTGAATTAACTGCAAGCTGCATCCCAAAGACCAAATCAGGGACTTCGGGTGTCTCCTCATTTAAGCCTTAACGTTATCGTAGGGAGGACTTTGCACCCGCGTCCTCTTTCCCCCGAGGAGGACACTGGAGCGAATGAGACAAAAGAAC